CTGTAGCAGATCATTACAAGGCTCATACGGAAATCCATGGCCTGGTTCTCCAGCATGTCCACTCGCAGCATCTCCTCCTCCGTCTCGCCACCTGGGAGGCACAACAAATGTCAGAGTGCTCACCGGCAGCTACCCAGCCAAATCCCAGCCCCTTGACCATTAGTGAGGCCCAGACCTCCCCCCACCGATACTCACACAACTTGTGCTTGCGCACGATGTACCAGAGGATGGCATTGCTCTGCGTGAGCTTGTTCTTGCCATCGATGAGGTAGGGCAGCTGGAAGGGCAGTCAGAGGCAAGGTTAGTAAGCAAGCTCTTCCTACTTCTCCGGCTCCCACACTCCCCCCTCCCTGCTACTTCTGCACAAGAACCCCACCGATACCCCAGCATTGGTCCCCACCCAGAATCCATCTTAATCAGTGAAACTCCCAAACCCACCACACCCCAAGGAAGGACCTGCCTGCCCACCTAGAGTAACTCTACATACATTTGGGAAATCCAGTCCCAGCTTCTCCTTAATCCACTGGCTTTTGTCATAGTCCAGAGCAGGAAGGAGAACAGAGAGGGTAGATCCCAGGCCAATGCCAACACATCCACCTAATTCCTCCCCCTAGCATCTTGGGGCAGCATGGCACACACTTGTGGTGCAGATTCTCCATGGTGCTGACCAACATCAGCTCACTGAAGGGGGAGAACATACCAGGGGCTCAGAACGCTTGAAAATCAGGTCCTAAGTCAAAGAGGGCCTGAGCCAGAATCCTTCCAGGCCAGCTCTCTCCCAGTCATCAAGTAGCCATGTCTACACAAGAAGGCTGCTTTGGTTTAAATTAAGGTGAAATTTCTAACCTGGTGAAGGTTAAACTGGTGCAAAAAGCTATGTGGCTCCCCTTTACTCTGGTTTTAAGTCATGCTAAAATGAAATACACCTAACTATAAGCCTGGTCTGAACTGAAATAAAAAAGGTCTACACAGCCCTTCACACCAGTATAGCTAAGCCAGTTTAAAAAAAA